GGGTGGGGTGCGGTGGGGTGGGTGGTGTGGGCGGATACAACCGTGCGGAATCTGGCGCACGACAGTTGCTTGCTGGCCGTACAAACACGTGGCCGAGGTACAGGTTGGACCGGGCGTTTGATAGCGGCGGGCAGCTGGGGGCCACGGCGCACGCTCGCTGCGTCAGCACGGCCGGAGGCGCCTGCGCGGCTCGGCCGCGGCAGGCCACGCGCGGCTGGCTGCAGCGCCGCCGTTGCGCACGGCCCCCCTCCCTGCGCCCGCGCCGGCCGCGGCGCGTCCCGCCTGTCGACGCGGCGCCCCGAAAACACGCACGCGCTCCCCGCGCGCGACCCCACACGACGTGCACGCACACGCGCCGCACGCGCGCCGCCCGCACCCTCAGCCGGAAGTACTTGGCCGGCAGGCGCCCCTTGCGCTCCTGCAGCTCCACCCAATGCCGGTCCGCGGGCCCCATGCTCCTCAGCACCACCGCCGGGTCGCCGTTGGTCTTCGAATTGAGCCCCGGCCACTCGCGCGACGGGAGCAGCTCGATGCCCGCGACGCGGCCGATGAACGGCGCGCCGGCCGGCCTGACGCCGGCGCCTGGGCGCGTTTCGAGGCGCGCGGCGGTCGTCAGGCGTCGGGCAGCATGCGATGAGGATATGTGGTGGGAGCTTAATATGGCAGCATACCGTGGGGGCTTGTGCGGGCATAGGGCTGGCGGGCGCTGCAGGGTAGCAACAGGCGCGGCAGCAGCCGAGCACAGCGCCAAGCGCGGCATTGTGCGTGCCCGTGGCTTGACCGGAGACGGCCCTGCCTCAGCTCCAGTGGGCTGCGGCGCCCGCCGCGTGCGCCAGCCTCACCCCTGCCGCCCGCGCCAGTGTAGGTCAGCACGCAGTCGCCGACGGCGATGCGGATTTGTTGGAATGTCTGGCCTCCCGAGATCTCTGGGTCGTCGACTGTCGTAAGGACGTCATCGTACATAACCTCCTGATGAGGGTGGGCGGGGTGGCATGGTGGCACGCTCAACGCGTTGCGGGGCATGGGGAAAAGGAGCCGCGCGTTTGTTGGAAGGGGGCAGAGGGGGGCTCGTTGGGGCGCTCTCGCAAGTCGCAGCTGCAGCACCAGCTCGCGGCTGGGTCAAAAGCGCACGGGAGCGTGCAGCAGCAAGTGACAGGGGGAGCGGCAATAGCAGCGGTGGCACCAGAGAGGAGTGGTGCTGGTGTCGCTGGGCGCTTTCACAATGCAGCCTGCATCTGCGCCGGACGAAGTGGCGCACCTCGACCTCAACGACCTTCTTTTTGGAGGGCCGCGCGTTTGCTGGCTTGACGATGGTCGCATATGCCACATAATTTGGATCCGCAAACGCGTCCGCCCAGTTTGGCATGGCGATGCGCCAATCGCTACATGCGCCGCGCTCACTGGCGACGCAGCTGCTAAATTGGTCGCTGCAGGCTGACGGGCAAGATCAGACAGCAGTCGTGTCTGGATGTTCAAGATTCCACGTTTTCCACGAGGAGAGTCAGGTGTCCTGCGAAGCAGCGGGTACATCAATGCCCATCGGCCAATGGTGCTATCGTTGATCTACAGTGGTTTATGACTTCCTACGCACTGCGCTGTATTTCAAACTTGCTACCGGTATTGAGGTCAAGCGCATGGCACAGCGCCGCTGCTGGAGCCGAGTGACAGCAGTGGACACACCGGGGGTGCGCCGTCCGATCCAAAATGTAAAAATGGGTTCTAGCTGAGCGCCATCCATTCGTATCACAAAAGGACGGCAACACTGATTGTCCGGTCCCGGTATTGCATGTTGGCATCAGGTACATAGGCGAAACATTGGTGGTTTTTTGGTGCCTGCACAACACGCGCGCGCTCACACACGCGCGCACGCACGGTAGACGAGGGCCCCGACATCCTGCAAGATGTCGGCAATCATGTTGGAGAGCTTGTGATGCTTGATGACGTATTCTGGGCATCCACTGCTGGTTAAATCTCGCAAAGCCGCCGAGACGAATGGCCAAACATCCTGCTCAATGATTGAGCAGGTGGGGTCATGAGGCGGCTCTGAGGCAGGCAAGCTACATGCAGTGCCATTGCGTCCACCTTGAATCGCCCATCGAGGTGCTTCAAACAGGCAACAGCTGACACAAGCACCCGCCGCTGCAGCCAACGCGCATGATTCACAAATCCACGTGTTACAGACGCTTGCTCGTTTCTCTCAGCCGAGGCTGACACGGCACGGGTGCAGAAACAAGGCGTGGAGCGACGGTTGCACACCTGACCAGAGGCAAACTGATGTGCACCCAGCAAGCCTTGCAGAAAGAAAACAACCGTGGACACCAAAAACCAAGCGCATTCTTATGGCCACAAAGGGCGGCCAGAGAAGTGTGGCTGCATGCTGATAAATTCTATGAACACAGACAAAACAGGATTATGATCCGCCACTGCTGCGGCACTTCCAATCCGTGTGCTACTTCTTGTTCTGCTGAGCCGCAACGCCGTGCTTCGCCGCCAAATCCCGGTATCGCGGCCCAAAGCAGCACTGTATAGGACGCTCCGCGCCTTGGGGTGCGGCGGCCATCTCTGCGTCGCAGCAAGATATCAGCGCCGCGATTTGCGCGGCGCAGCGCGCTTCCTGGTAGTCGCTGGCATTCAAGCAGTCCTGAATGGCGCAGGCCTGAGACTTGCACGCATTCCTGTACGGGGTGGCGCCAGCTGCAGCAACACCATCGATTGCTGCAACGTCCTGCGGCGGCGGAGTCTTCAGCAGCGCCGTCGGCATAGCAGGCCGCGTTGAGCACAATATCGTGACCAAAACGGTTCCTTTGCGGCTTCGCAAAAATGAGGGCTCGCCCGACTGCACAGTCTGCGATCTAGCGCGGGACTATGTTCGTCCACCACCTCCGTGGGTTCGAATACTCGATAAATTTCAGGAATATGGGTGTGGGCTTGTGCCTGCCGCTGGACCACTGGGACGGTGGGTAACAAGTGATGTCACCGGGCGATGGGCGCCTCCACACCCGCATTTTTGCCTTCCAACGACGAGGCTGCAAGGGTTTGCAGCAGGAGGGCCAGCGGCCTGCAGAACTGCCAGCATTGTACTGCAATGCAATGCAGTCGGTGGGAAGCCATCGTGACTGCCGCATACCACTGGACTGCCCAGTCTGCCACCTGCCAAGTGGACTGCGACCAGCTTCGCACTTGACGCGGCCTGCTCATGCAGATAGTATATTCACACGTAGTTCCATCACCCCCCACAGGTGCAAAGTGCTTGTCCACATGGGTTGCAGGAGCAGCAGGTGTGGGGGCGGGCTGCTGCGGTTCGGATTCCCAAGCTCCAAAACGGCGCTATTTCGGTTCTGTTGCCTGTGCAAAAAGAGCGATCCGTCGACGCTGCTGTACATCAATGTTACTCGGGTGTTGGGCTGTGCAATAGGACACTTCCGATGCAGCATGGGCAGGTCGCCCGGCTGTTTGCCCCCCGTGCCGGCGCTTGCGCAACCCAACCAACTAGTGTGTCACAGACAATTTCAGCTGATGTCAGCCATAAGAATTGTGTTCACATCCCTCCGGAGCTGTTGCTGACATGAAGCAGGGCGACTGCAGGGGGGGTCAAGCCCTTGGGCGTGTTGGCCCTGTGACACAGCGCGGGCTGGGGGAGTCCTGCGCACTCTGGGAACAGCGGATTGGCGGATGCATCGTCTAGCACGCCATCAACCCTCTTTTTGCATATTTCCAACATATTTTCAGGGCAACCGGTGTTCAACACATCAGAAGTCAGAACTTTTGTTTGCACCGAGCTGTCGGGTAACACGGCGGGGCGACTTGATCACGGAATCGCCCTCGATGGCGTCTATGCCATCAGAGGGCATCACGGTGCCGCTGCTGCGGCGTGTCAGCCTGCCTGATGGAGGCGCAGCAGGTTCGTCCTCGACCAGCTGCGGTGCAGCGGCGCGTGCTGCGCCTCGTCCTGCCTGCTGCTGTGCATACTGTGCATGGGAGGCAATCCAACTGTTCAGGTTCTGGAAGCCGTAGTAGTACATTGCTCGTCAACGCCAGGAACGCACATGCGACTCGCAACTCGGGACGTCACGTGCCGCCCTATCCCAACCAACACGGCCGCGCGCAACTCACAGGCACCCCCAACAGCGGCAGCGGCAGCTGCGCCGCCGCCGGCGCCGGCGCCAACGGCACGCCCCACGGCTGGCCGCGCACCTGGGCGGCGTCCTCAGACTGGTCCGCCCGCGTCGGCACGACCTCCCTCACTGACAGCGCACGCCGCACAGCGTATGCGGCCGGCCCCGTTTTTGACGCCCATGAGGGCGCCGCTGCTTCCTGCTCGCCGCTCGCCGCAGCCCTGTCCGCGCGCCTCCGCGCCTCAAGCGGCGCCGCGGCCGCGGCCGCGTCCGGCGGAGCAAGCGGGGCGGGCGGCGTGGTCAGCCCGTTGGGCGCGGCGGCGCGGCACCGATTGCGGCTCGCGTCGTCCGCGGCGACCGGCGAACTCGATGAAACGCTGATGTATGATTTCGACGAGTCACTGGAGGCAGCAGATCACGAAGAGGAGCGGCGCCTGCGAAGCTCAGAAGCCAGCGGCGGCGCCAGGCAGCAGCAGCAGCAGCAGCAGCAGCAGCAGCAGCAGCAGCAGCAGCACCCCCACCACCAGCCTCGCTGGAGCGGCGAGTCTGGCAGCAGCAGCACGTTCAGGTTCAACTCGCGGCGGTCTGGGGACCTGGATTGGGACTCTGACCCCTTTGCAGCCGTCAGGGGACAGGCGTTCTCCCCTCCAATAAAGGCGGGGCACTCCTACCTGGTCGCGCGGCGGGAGCTGTCAGGCCCGGGGTCGGCGCTGCTGCCGCCAGCGCCCGCGGCGGCGGGGCCGGGGCCCGCGGCCGCGCCGGAGGGCGGGTTCCGGGAGCCATTTGTGGTGCACGTTGAGCAGGTGACACTGCGGTGGGGGGGCGGCTGGGGAGGGCGGCGCGTCCTCCACGCCCGGGTCGCTGCGTGCCAGCGTCGCCCGCTGCTTGCTGCGAGGGGCGGGCCTGTATGGTGTGCGCTGGCAGCAACCGCACCTTTGCATGACGGCGACCGCGCTAGCCTCAACGGGAAGAGGCGCCTCCGTCCTGGCTGATTGTGTGTGGTCTCGCAGGAGGCGCCCACTTCCAGCACGCTCCAGACGGCTTTCAACGCCTTCAACACGCTGTGAGCCTGGGCGAAGATCAAGGGGTGACGCCGAAGCCTGCAGCATGAGTCGGGCCGCCAGCTCTGCTACACTTGGCATTGCCTTGCAGCAGCCAGGGCACGACAGTCCGCATGTACATTTCGTTCTGCACGTCGCCGTCGGCTCCCCTCCCAAACCCGCCTGTGCCTCGGACGCCCCCGCGCGCAGCTGCGGCGTGGGCCTGCTCACGACGCCGTTCGCGGTGGGCATGAGCGGCTGGTTCGCCCTGGCCACCCTCTGCATCGTCGGTGCGTGGCCGTGCCCTCTTAACGTAGGACGCCACTGCTTGATACACCGCAAAGCAGGCGCATGCGGCGTGCACAGATGGCATAGAGCTGCCTGCTTCCTGCTTTGCTGTGCCTGGCGGCTCTCGCACAGGCCAGTCTTGAAACTGCGCTATGCCGTGCGCCTCCCCATACCCCAGGCACAATTGCGTGCACCACCGGCAGCATGCTGGCGCGCTGCATGGCCCGTGACAAGACCATCCGCAGCTACCCTGACATTGGCGGCGCCGCATTCGGCACGCCCGGCAGGTGCAGCCGCGGAGCGGCCGGCCCCGCTGACCCCCCTGCCTCGCTCGTGCATCGCATGCGCCCCTCCACCTTTCACTAACAGGCTCCCCAGCAACCCCTGGCAGCCACTTGCTTCTGCCCTCACACCTCGTGACTTGTGCTCGGCTGCCCACCAACGCGCTTCACCCAAATCCCTCACCAACCCTGTTTGCAATCTGCCAATGCCTCAGGTGGGTGAGCACCAGCAGGCCACACCCTCTCCCCCCCTGCCCCCACCCCCCATCCTCCCTCTACCCTCTACCCCACCCTCTACCGCCCACCCCTCCCCTCCCCTGGGCCTTATCCCACTTCACCCCACCCCACCCCATCACACCCTACCCCCCGCTCCCCCACAATCCCAATCTAGGGTGCTGGTGTCGTGCCTGCTGTACCTGGAGCTGTTCTGCGTATGCGTCGACTTTGTCATACTGGAAGGCGACGGCCTCAGCGCGCTGTTCCCGACTGCGGCCCTCAATGCAGGGGGCATACTGTTCGATGCGAAGCAAGTGGGTGGGCTGGCGGGGATGGGGGCCTGCTGGGCGCAGGAAGACGGGACGGCGAGGGGTTGGCTGAGCGGGCGCGGCGGCTTGGCTCCGCGCCGCCGGATTGATCTCTCAAGCAGGCCTGCAGGCCAGGAATGACCCCCTCGCCACGTCAGCGCCTTCTTTGTCCACGTCACTTCTCTTCGTGGACCTGGCTCGGGTCCAAGCGTGCGCCCCCGACTGCTGTTGCCACCCCAACAGACGATGATGATCGCCGCGAGCGTGGTGCTGCTGCCCACGGTGCTGCTGCGGGACCTGAGTGTGCTGTCATACCTCTCGGTCTTCGGCGTCTTCGCGGTGGGAACATGATCGGTCACCTCGTGACCTGACGTCTCGGGATGATGTCATTGCAAGCCAGATCGGCTGGTGCTCAGCCGACTTGCTTGCAATATCGCATACATTGCACGCCGCTCTCAAACGGCACAGCCAACCCGTCGTCCTCCCCGCCTACGCCGCCAGGGGTGCTCTGACGGACCCCATGTTTGCTCCTGCACTCCAGAAGCCTGCTCCGTAACAACCTGCCCCTCACCAACACGCCGCCCTTGCCCCTCGAAGTCGTTGCTGCTGGTGGGCCTAGTTGGGGCGATCACACCCGTCACCGGGTTCCCCAACACCGCCAACATCCCCGCCGTCGTGTGGGGCGGCGTGCCGACGTCGGCGGCGCTCTTTGCCTTTTGCTTCTCGGGCCACGCCGTAAGCAGGCTGCAGATCACAGATTGGCTGCCTGGGCTCTGCACGCCTGTCAAGAATGTGACGGCTGCCGGACGCCTGACAATCATGTGACAACATCCAAGTGATGTTTTCCGCTGAGGGCCTGCGTGGTCCGCCGACGTCAACGCCTGCAGCTCCGATCCCCGCCCTGCCCCATGCGGCCCTCGCATGCGCATTCCCACCGCTCGCGCCCCATGCCCTGCTCCACGCCCTGCCTGCCCCCAACCGGCCAGGTGTTCCCCAGCCTCTACTCCAGCCTGCGCTGCAAAAGAAACTTCCCATACGTCCTCTTCAGCTCGTTCGCGGGCGTCGTCGTGCTGTTTGGCGGCATGGCTGTCATGGGGTGCGCTCGCCGCCCTCCGCAACCACGCCGCGAGCGACGCGCCCGCCTGTCCCCCCCCCTGCGCCGGGTGCGTCATACCCCTGCTGTCTGTGCGGCGCACGGCGTGCGACCCCGCGGCGGGCTGCCACGTTCTTGATGCCCTTCTCGCGGTGCTGCTTGCTCCCCCCTCCTTCCCAACAGGGCCTGCATGTTTGAGGGGATCAGCGATAACGTGGTGCTGGACATGCAGCGCGCGGCGCCGCACGCGGCGCCGACGCGCGTCGCCATGTGGACTGTCATCATCAACCCCCTCACAAAGGTGGCGCTCACCCTAACGCCGGTGGCCATGGCGCTCGAGGTGGGGCGCGGACGGTGCGCCTGGTGCCTTGAGGGCAAACAGGCTTTGAAGCGGACCGAAGCTGTGCATACAAGCCACACAGGGGCACAGTGACCCGCGTATGATCAACGGCGTCCTGTTGTATTGTGCCTGTCAACCTGCAGCATTGGCGGCAGGTGTTGCAAGCGCGGGCGAGCTTTGATGCCGGCACTTCCGACCCTCCGCCTGCCTGCGCTTGGCCCGTTTTCAATCATGGATTCGCAGGAGTTGATGCCCTGGCGCGCCAACACGCGCGCCTTTGCCCTGGCCTCCGCCGGCCTGCGCACTGCGCTGTTGGCGGCCGTGCTGCTTGTCGCCCTCAGCTGCCCCTTCTTCGGGCTGGTGAGCTTGGGACAAGTCCAGGGTGCTGCTGGCGGTGCGCGCGGCTCGCGGCCACCAGCAGCGGCCACTCTCCACGCAGTTTCAGAGCAGTTGCACAATAGGCCGCTTGCCGGCTGACAGCCCGAGCCAGCCTCATGCATGGCCCCCCCCCTACCTTCCGCATCCCCACCCAAAAGCTCACCGTCCACCCTGCGCCCTGAACCCGCACCCGCCTACCCGCCGGCCACGTGATCCTGGACAGGTGATGAGCCTAATCGGCGGCGTCTTCTCGATGTCCATCAGCATCGTGCTGCCCTGCGTCTTCTTCCACCGCCTGTGCCGGCCGGGCGCCGCGGGGACGGCGGCATGCGTGGTCATCGCGGCGTTCGGCGTCGCGGCGGGCGTCTGGTCGACGGCGGATGCGGTGCGCAGCCTGCTGTCAAAGTACTGACAAGGGCCGCCGCCGCCGGCACCTGGGGACGCAGCCGGCGCCCTCTCGGCCGCCGGGATCGCCCGGGCGGGCGAGACCCTGGCGTGTGGGGGTCTCTGCCTCGGCCGGGGCCACCAGAGCGCAAGATTAAAATTGCTTATCAACCGTCTTGTATCGACGCTTCCCATGATTGCCGGGGATGTTGTCACGGGGCATCACTGTGGGGTGGGTGGGTCGTGGTGTTCAGGCAATGTTTGTTTGTTCCGCTGTCTCATGTGTACACCAGGCTGATGGCTGGTCGCCTCGGCGGACCTTCTTTATGGTTTGCCGCTGCATGGCTGGCTGCGCAGCAGCCGTAAGATTGAGCGCCTGGCGGCTTCCGATTGTTCTCTAATGTTGGGAGCCCCCTTGAGACTCCCTTACTTGCCTCACGTGAAATCACATCTTGACACTTCGTCAGCCACACAGCCATTCATAACCCCTTGTGTTTTGCCTCTAGCAACGCACATGTACCTTTATGTTTGTTACAGAAGCCAGGTGCAGGCTTGCTGTTAGGAGTAGACAGGTGTGGAGCACCCCAATTGCTGGTGGTGGGTTGCAGGGTTGACTGCGCCGGTGCAGGTGAAGGGACAGCACGGAGGCGACAGAGGTCCGTGACAAATCATCCATTGGTTTTTTGTTGCAGGGTTCTTGGAGCCATCGATTGAAGGGGCGGAACGCAGCAGAGGGGCTGGGCCCAATCGGCCCTGCATGCACCATGGGCCACAGCAGGCTGGCCTTCTTTGCTGCTGCTGTCACCGTCAAGAAAGGCTGTAGGGCCGCACCTGCCACTGTTGCTGCTCTGCGGCATGTCTGGCCAATATGCTGAGGTAATTGAGCTGGCTGCAGGTCAGGAGTGGATTTGGGGTTGCTGCGCAGATACCCAGGGCTCTTCTCAAGCCTGGCACACCTGTCAGCTGGAGCTTAACATGCCGCTAAGGTTGGTGGTGGTTGGCTAATGTTACACATCACGCACCACCAAAGTGCTGCAGCAGCAGCCCATTGCGAGCAGTGTTGAGTAGGGGAAGAGGACCCCACACCCCCAGGCGCAGGGAGCGACCAGTGAGAAGGTGAAAATGACTTGAGGGAACTGCGAGGCGTCAGCGGGTCCTCCACATATGTGCCTGTCCACCTAAGTCCCATAGTCCCCTGGAAGCCACTTGAATATGACCATTTGAAGTAATACACGGAAGGCGGCGGCTTTGCAGGCGAGGGATTTCGCCGCGCGTCCATGCGTGACCGTGATAGGGCCCATCCCCCACCCCAGCTTTACGCCCGAAACCCCCCAGGAAGAACGCACATCTGCAAAGCCCATTGCCCACGCGCACGTGTGCGCCTCGACGGAATTTGCAGAGCGGGCTCTGGGCAACAGTGCGGGGTGTGGGCGCATCGCGCCCCTGCATCTGCCTGCACACGCCATGCGTCGCCTTGATCAGGCAATTTCAACCAACGCTGAACAACAGGTCCATTGTCATCGGCACAGCATCCACATGCGGCGACTGAACTCGTTTTGCATATCGCTTTCGTTGTGCCGGGGCGCCCCCGCAGCGCAAAACCTGGGCGGCAAGCTGGTTTGCCGGGCCGGGCGCCTTTCAGACATCCCCGCCAGCGGCGCAGATGTTGCCCCAGTGCAGAGAGCTGAGGCCCTTCAGTAGCACAGCTTCCCAGTTGCCGTACGCCTGCAGGGCGGAAACCACACTCGCCAGGAGCATCTGCGAAACAAGTTGAAGCGACATGCAGGCGCGGGTCATGCGGGTTCCAGGGTCTGCCAGGCCGCCCACACGTGTGTGCCGAGTCTGCCTCATTTCAAACATGGACGGATTGTAACGCACTCATGCAGTCAGGGGGGAACACCACCAACACAGTCGCTGGGCCGGAAGTGTTGCCTGCCCTCCCGCCCAGTGCCTGCTGGGTCCCCACGCGAACTCTCCCTCTCTTGACCAGATTTGACCGGGTTTGACCGGGGCTCACCAGAGAGGCCATCGTAAAAATGATGAGGCTCCTGCGCCCCAGGTAGCGCACCAGGCGGTTGACGCCCACCTGCGCGGCGGCCGCAGCGGTAGAGGTGGGTGGGAGGTGGGAGGTGGGTGGGCCGGCCGAAGTGCTGAAGGGGCGCCGCCCACCAGCAGATGCCTTGAAGCGATGCGATCAAGCATTGCCACTGCGTGCTCGTCGCGCTCACGCCGCCAGGCAGGCGGGATCTGTTGCAACGACACCGTCCGTTGGCCGCTGAGTGACAACCAGACCATGGCAATCTCATTTCGGCCCCTGGGCAGCACGAGCAACAGTCCTGTGTGACTGCCCTAGCTGTATGCCCGTCCTGGCCCGGTACGGGCTCGGCCGACGCGGGGCCGGTGCCCGCACCTGGCCAATCGCGGACCCGATCATCCCCAGGAGAAGCAGGGCGGCGGCGTAGTCGTACAGAATGAGGCCAAAGCTGCTGTAGACGATGCAGGCCGATGAGGCTGTGAAGAGGATCCTGCAGGAGGGTGGGTCCGGGGCCGCCGGCGGCCGACGCAAGCATTGAGAACGCAGCTGCACTGGCGCCGCGAGCCTGATGACATTCTCGTGCGGCCGGCGCATGACTTGCAGGGCGCATGACTTGCAGGGCGCACGACTTGCAGGGCGCACGACTTGCAGGGCGCATGACTTGCAGGGCGCATGGATTGCAGGGCGCATGACGGAGGAGGTTGCGGGCTCGGCCCCGCCCTGGGGCGCGGCGGGTGCGGCGGCTAGGCAGGCGGAAGGCAAGTCGGGCTGAGCGGCAGGCGGCAGGACAGGCCGGGCTCACATGGTGGTGGATGTGGCGGTGGCGACCTCCGGCAGCACCCCGAGCTCGAGCATCAGGGGCGCCTTGATCACGCCGCCACCTGCAAAAGCGGAGGCGGCAGGGCAGCATGGCTTTTAGGAGCGCTCACTGGCTGTCCAGGGCGTACTGCACGCATCGTCGTCCCCTGCAAACGGCTCGGTGCGACGCCCTCGACGCTTGCCGGCCACTGTGCCCCTCTAACCTGCCGTTGGGAGCCCCCTCATCACATATATGTGAGGATATAAATCCTCGTACGTACGCAACAACCCTGTACGTATTCCACACAGAAAAACCCTGTACGAATCCCACACGACACTAATCCTGCGCGCGTCCCGGACGCGGAGCGCCGCCGGTATCCCACCCACCCAGGCCAAACATGCCGGCGATCACGCCGGCCAGGGTGCAGACGGCGGGGTACGTCAGGGTGTTCTTGGGGTTGTACTTGATGTTGACGCCGCCCACGCCGCCCGTGAACGACTGGAACTGCCGCGACAGCACGCGGCTGCCGCCGGACGCCACTTGGGCGGCGCGGCGCAGCAGGTGGCGGCGCGTGAGCAGCATGACGGCGATGGAGGGGGGGATGACGGCCAGGACGATCAGCCAGTAGCGCCTGGGGTCCAGGGTTTCAGGGGCAATCGGTGCGCGAGGGAAGGAGGGTGGGGGGAGTTATGGAGCGTGTGTGAAACATGGCTTCAGGCTGGCGGATGAGGAGGGGAGCGACGAGGCGCAGCAGAGAGCCACCGGTGACGTCGGGGCGGACGATGCTGCACAGGGGCTTTCGGGCCGCACGCCTGTGCCTGGCACAGGGGTTGCCCCAGAGTGTTGAAGCGCCCCACAACAGAGGAGCGCGTGCGATGCACGCGCATGCAGACAGCCGATCCGCCCTTGCAAAGCAACCGCTCACCAAGTGCCGCACTGCACGTACGCCTTGGCCTCGTCGCTGGCCGCAACAGCCACGCTCAGCAGCAGCAGCACGATCAACGGCACGGCCGGCAGCACGACGCGCGGGCCGCCGGCGGCGCCGCTGCGCTCGGGGCGCGCGATGACCAGCGTCGGCGCGTCCTCGTCGGCGTCGTCATAGTTGACCTCGTCAAGCGTCACCTTACCGCCCTCGGTGACGCTGCTAGTGACGCCTGCGGCGGCCGCGGCCGCCTTGATGTCTGCGGCCGCGCTGTTTGCGCCGTTGGGCTCCGCGGAGATAGTGATGTCCACATCAGCGCTCCTCGACCCGGCGCCGTTGGCGTCGTCGGCCGACGCCGCCTCGGCCAGGGCGCTCGGCAGGTGCAGGCTGCCGGGCGCTGAGTCGCCGGCGCCGTTCGCGCGGCCGGCGGCGGGCGCGGGCGCGTCGGAGCCGTCCGCCCGGCCCGACGGCCCGAGCAGCGGCTCCCTGAGCCCGCCGTTTGCGGCGGAGGGGTTGGCCGCCGCCTCGGC